CATAATGCATGTCATCCATAGTACAGAGTAATGATGCATCTAATCAGTTGAATATTTCACACGTATACTTGATACACATACCTTCGTTCCTTGAACTGGCTCCGAGCTTTAACCACAATTTCCATACGGCTCCTAGAATGTCTTTCCACTTGAGCTTCTACCCATATGAGAGGCTTAACCTGAGAACAAGTACCACCAAGGTTTAAACTATTTTGCTTAAGGACTTCCACAAGTGAACTAAAAGTTTTAGAGATGCAGTAAGCTCGTGATTTACCTGAGTACCGAGTCTGTAGGTCATAAGATCAAAAGCTCCATCTGGAGGTATGAATGATATAGTGCGATCATTTTCAAATCGGGCCAAGCGAACACACCTATATTACAAGCAAAATTAGTAGAATAGAAAGAGAAGGGCAATAAGAGAGATAAAAGGGTATAAAAGGGTTACTATCATGTTGACACTGTTCAAAAATGCTGACTGGAGTAACTGTCGGATCCTCCAAAAGTATTGCATTTTTGAAGGATCCGACACGGGTGTGGCATATTTTAGAGAGTCCGAGCAACATATGTTACTATCAGAAACTGGTCAGGACATTTGATCAAATTCATTTGACTAATTGTATGGGAGGTCCAGGTTTGCTGATTCAAAAACCGTATGCGAACCTCTTCCCAAAAAAAAGGACCTTTTACTACTTAACTACTTAATTCCTTTTCCCGAACCCCCATGCCCCGTTATTTTCGAAAAGCCCGATATACAAGTAAATCAATTACCAATCCATACAATTCCGTTTGACAGGAGAGACCAGTAAATCATAACACCACAAAAAGAAATAACTGAACAATTTCATACTGATGAAACTTGATATCATCTAGATCAATGGCCTTCCCCTTCGTAGTTCGTCCTTGTGCTTCCAGCAACATTCTATCATTAAGACCAAGCTTACACTCAGGCATACCACTGCAAGAAGAACCAATAAGACTTACATTCCAGATAACAGTCGCTCTATATACAGTAGGATAAAACCAACAAGTCAAACTCAACGAGACTGAGGAGCATGACTTTCAAGTAGTGGAACTAAGTGCTTTTTGTATCAACACAGAAAAAATCCCAGACATTCAACTCTACCTTAAAAAGTTCCAGACATTCAAATAGGAGATAAGGTAGTTACACTACAAGCCTACAACTGATGCAGAACAAAGAGCTGACTAGATCACTGGAAACTGAAAGATATCAAGGGAAGAGCAAACAACAACTCACTCCAACAACTAGACCCCACACATTAAATCAAAAGGTTTGGAGAAGGGACTCGCATTCAAATATGATTACAATTGGGACGAATCATAATCAGTTTGGAACATCTTTGAAGGCGATAGAAAATACCCTTAGAGGTTGAAGGCCTTGTATTAGCTTCTAAAAGGTTAAGTAAACAAATTGGAAAAAGGACAAGAGACGGTTGCACAAGTGGTAAGCACCCATCCACCTCCAATCTTGAGGTTGCGGGTTCGAGTCACCAAGGGAGTAAAGTGGGGAGCTCCTGGGGAGGGGTAATAAAAAAAAAGACAAATTGGAAGAGGGAACTAATTTCAACTTTCACTTGAGTACTTGAAAGATTTAACTAGTAAACTAGGAGTATCAAAACTAGCCCTTACATGGTGCAACCCACCAATCAAGAAGTTAAGCGCCGGATTTGTATGCTTATTAGGACATGTCAATTATAGACTCCACACATGGTGCCTGTAACGACCCGACCGGTCGTTTTGCTTTCTAGATCCCTGTTCCCCTAAATAAGACTCCCCGTATATGCTTTTACTGTTTTATGACTTGCGGGTTCCCCTAAATAAGACTCCCCGTATATGCTTTTACTGTTTTATGACTTGCGGGGATGGTTAGTTCGGTATTTGGAAGAGTTCGGGTCGAAATCGAAACACTCGGTTCCTTAGTTTGGCTTTAAAGAGCTAAGTTTGACTTTGGTCAATATTTTTAGTTAACGACCTCGGAACCGGGATTTGACGGTTACAATAGGTTCGTATGGAGATTTTGGACTTGGGAGTATGTTCGAATCGGGTTTTGGATGACCCGGAAGCGTTTTGGCGCTTAATGTTGAAAGTTGGCTTATTGAAGGTTTATAAGTTCTTTAAATTTGGTTTGGAGTAGGTTTTGGTGTTATCGAGGTCAGTTTGTGATTCCGAGCCTGAGAATAGTTCCGTATGGTGATTTAAGACTTGCACGCAAAATTTGGTGCCATTCCGAGTAGTTTAAGTATGAATCGGCGCGTTCGGAGTGAGTTGGAAGAATTTGAAGTTCATAAGTTGATCCTATTGGTTTTGGGTTGCGTTTCCTAGTTTTAATGTTGTTTTCCGCGTTCCGAGGGTGCGAGCGAGTCCGTTTTATGTTTACAAACTTGTTGGTATGTTTGGACGGGGCCTCGGATGCCATTCGGACGATGCACGGAAGTCGTTTGGCTTTGGGTGATCAACTGAAGCATCCAGCTTCTGGTGCAATCGCACCTGCGGAGGGCCAACCGCAGGTGCGAGCTCGCAGAAGCGAGCCAGCGGCCGCAGAAACGGCCCAGCATAGGCAGCCCAGAAATCGCAGATGCGGACGAGGTAGGCGCAGATGCGCGACCGCAGAAGCAGTCAAGGGACCGCAGAAGCGAGAAAGGACGCAGGTGCGGCTCGAGCGCCGCAAGAGCGGGCTCGCAGATGCAGATTTTGGCCAGCCAAGAGAGGACCGCATCTGCGATGAAACTTCCGCAGATGCGGCCCTTGGACCGCAGATGCGAAAGTCCTGGAGGTACTGAGGTCCATTTATTTCGGACTTAGCTCATTTTGGTTCATTTATTTCGGACTTAGCTCATTTTTGTTCATTTATTTCACTTCTTGACACCCCTTGCTTCAATGTGGCTCCGCCACTGGTATCTATTATTTACTTCTTGAATTAAGAATTGAAACATTTGCTTAATATGTTATTTTTATTGAGTTTTTGGTCATTTATCTATGCCTATTTAATTACTTTTATTTATGTGTTAAATTGCGCTTCACATGAAAAAGAAAAGCGCTTCGGTGAAGCGAGGCCTCCTCGCTTTTTTCCGCTTCTCGCTCTCCAAAACACTGGGTTGTTTATAAAGTATCCTCTCTTCTTGTGGAGCGGGCCAAACTTGCATCTATGGTTCGTGCCGCTCGACTCTCGGCAGTATACACATTATTCTGGATCAGGCCGTACGACCTCGGCATCGTGCGTGATAACACTCGAAGTGTAATTATATATTTGATATCTTTTCCTGGCTTTGAGAGGCTAAAATTATATAAGACAGAAATTTATTTGGGACTTACCATGCGTGAAAGAATTATTTACTTTCTGCCAGTGTTATAAATAGCGCTCGCCTCAGCGCTAATAGCGTGAGGCGAGGCGAGGCGAGACAGTGTCGCCACAGAGCCTCTGTTGCGTTGCGTTTCGAAATAGCGCTCGCCTCTGCCTGCGTGGCGAGAGGCGACAGTGTCGCGAGAAGCGACCATAGCGTCGCCTTTTGTTTTTTTTAAAAAAAAAAAAGAAAAAAAGCAAAGACTCAACAAAAAGGGTCGTGATTAGGGCTTGACAACATATCTTCTTCAACTTGAACAAAACAACAGAGCTTCTTTGAGACTTTGACGTTCTGAACTCGCGAGCCATCGTCTTCTTCTTTCAGAAGCTTGAGGTTCCAGCCATTGAAAGTCCAGGTATGCTTCTTCTCCTTTCTTCTTTCTTCTTTCTTCTTTCTTCTTTCTTCTTCTTCTTCTTCTTTCTATTTTTTTTCCTCTGTTTTTTGTCGAAAAGAACAGAAACAGAGGTCTGTTTTCTGCTCTATTTTTCGAGCAAAATACAGAGGTTTCTTCTTCTCTTAACAGAAAGAGAGGTCTGTTTTTGTGCTCTATTTGTTTTGGTTCTGTTTTGGCAAAATAACAAAGGTTGTTTTGAAGCTCTGTTTTTGCAAAATAACAGAGGTGGTTTCGAAGCCCTATTTTTGCAAAATAACAGAGGTTGTTTCTTCTCTTAACAAACTTTCTGTTTCTTTCGGGCCCCGTTTTGTTTGCTTTTTGTTTTTCAATTATTGACTTATAGTCTTATAGAGTAGAATTAATTGCATATTGACTTGATAATTTTTTTTTCAATAAAACAGCGTTGGAATGACGTCATCCGATAGTAATAAACGAAATGATATAGCTTGGAATTATGCTATACAAGGCTCATCAAGATCCGCAATTAAATGTGTGTTTTGTGAAAAAACATATAATGGTGGGATAACTCGTCACAAGCAACATTTGATAGGTGGATTTAAAAATGTAGTACAATGTCCCCTTTGTCCGCCCGAGGTTAGGGAGGAAGTAAAAGCGTTTGTTGATAAGAAAAATGTGACAAGAACTCAAATGAATTTTGAAGCATCGGTGAATCTAATTGATGAAGATGATGAAATGGATGAAGATGGTGAAATGAGACCTCCCCCCC